CACAATTAGTACCATAGATATTATTATTTTCATATATAATATCATACCATTGTTGATTAATTAATGAATTTTAAAATAAATAAAAACTGATAAAGTTTTGAATTGAGAATAATATAACAACTGGGTGTGTTGTGAGATAGTAATTCACTGATGAAAATGGTGAATGTGTCGCTTAATTTCGTGAATTAGTTGAAGTTAGACAATAACACTGTTGGATGTCGACTGGCTCAGCGTTCGCGCACGAGACCGATAGGTCCTGGATTCGAATCTCGCGAGGTGAGATCATGGATGCGCACTGCCACGGAGGAGTCCCACAATAGGATGAAACAGCTGTCCAGATTTTCCATGTTGATCCAGCTTCAATTGACTCATGTTCTGAACTATTGAAAATAAATATTTGATGATGGTTATTATTCTTAGTAGTTCAATGAACCTTCAAGATCAAATTCTAACAACAACAAAACTGAATGATATAAAAACAGTTATTTGTCAGATTGGTAGTTATGTTTTCTTTTTTTTAAAAAAAATATGCATAGTAGGGTTATTTTACATGTTTTTATACAGTCTTGAAACATTTTGTTTGACTATCTGGTAATTTTTCACTTGAGAATAGGATTTGTTTTCCAGTGTATATTTAACTGTTCCAAAGCTTAGATTGTGTCTAGCAGTGGAATAATATAGACTATGAATTTCATTCTAATTGGAATTTATCAACGAAATATACCTGGATTCTTATTCATTAATACTAATGACAAAAAAGGTTGTCAAAATACCTTCATATCCGATGAACAATTTAATGTCAATTTGAACTCAATAGTTTAGTAAAGAACGTGTAGGAATATCGACTGATAAGCACTGGATTTAAGTTTCAGCATAAATATCGATACTAGAATCCATATATACTAGATTATAAGTTATAAAATGAGGCAAAACTTGTGTATTGAATATTACTGCTAATGACAATATAAACAAACAATCTATAAACGAAATTTTTCTTCAAGATATCATTAGTTTCAATTTTGAAACATGGAAGTAGCCATTTAGATCCAAGTTCTTATTGAATAAATTTTTGTCATTCCAATTAATCATATAAAATTATGAGTTACCATCAACATTAAAATTTGATATATATATATGTTACTATTCAACATTCAAACGAGAAGAGATTTAATTGATTAAATGAATAGTGAAATAGTAATATGGCAGTGATGATACTATGAATGATTAAACATTAAGAATATCGTTCAAAAAGACAACAGAAAAGTATATATATATATATATATATATATATATATATACAAGAATACTGTGATTGTATATCTAGAATGAAAGATCTTGAACTATATCACCCATAATGTATCTAACTATTGATCAAATAGTTTACATCTACCAACATGGCGCAGAGAATAGTCAGTGACTTAATGAACTAATACCATGTCTTGTTGAGGTAGACATGTACAGAATTAATATAAACTTCTCGTAGAATGTATTACTTGTTTGGAGACAATTTTCAACAGTATCCTAGTTATGAATTGAGAAAGATAAATTATCTCTATATTATTGTTTCGAGGTTATAATACACTATTATAATACAATTATAATACACTAGCCCCCAAATGCCCTGGTACGGCCGAGAGTGGGGAGAGTCCGCTCTCCCTCTCGAAACGCTCTCACATGACCACGTGTATATAGCCTGTGCAGGGAAGTTCTATTCATCGCCTTCTCGTGGCGGGGGTGTTGTTCACAAAATTGAGAGGACTATAAGCGAATGTCCGGCGATCTAACCTGGTTGGTGGACATGGAGAGTCCACCTAGGGGAGTTGGATAACCCTCATTAAAAATCTATCGTGCACATGGGATCCAGTATCCTGAGAGAACAAATGGCGTATGAACCGATCGTTGGTCACCGGTTACCATGAGACTGCATCTCCTTACAATGCTCCACTGCCTTGTGGATCAGACTTCAGGTCGAAGGCTCCGGGTGTGGCCCCTTTAGAAAACTACCTGCTTCAGTTTGAGCACCCGGGCAGTATCACAGCCCTCACAAATATCAAATGAGATTTGTGTGGCGCATATGTATTTGGTGCCTCCTTGTACCTGTGTGTTAAAATAAATAAATAAATAATACACTAACATATTATTGCAAACCCAAAGATTCTTTTTCAAAATTTCAGTAGCCCAATATAAACAGATTTCGAGTTGAATTCTTTATCATTTTCATTACCATTAAAGAACTTCGTTTGTTCTTTTTTTTTCTTCAAAAACCAACTTGATCTGTAGTATCTATGTACACATAACTACATGATGCATACAAGTATTAGAAGACTTGTGATGGAATAAAACAATCATAAATGTACAATCTTATCTTAATATTATCTGATTTCAGTGAAGAATAACAGTGATTAAGAATTAACGGTAATAATTTTGTAAATTAATTCACTAAAATCTTTTAGATAAGAATGAGTTGAATATAGACCTAATTCATTGTAACAAAAGCATTAATATTGAATTGTCCTAACCAGATAGTATGTATTTTAGACTAATAGTTCTGAATGTAAATGTAGAATTGGAGAGATTGTTAGGTTTTAATTAGAATCATGAATCGATCAATGTTAGACCATACCATTGAAAACGAAACGGACGTCCAGTGCTTCTGGAGTTTCAATGGTGGTCTAACATTGATTGGTTTATGAACTCAATTAAAACTCAGCAATCTCTACCACCATATACTTACATTTATCATGTGCTTATTAGTGACTAGCTTCGAGAGGTAATTCTCGGAGTCCTAGTGAGAAGCAGTGATCGATGAAGCTCAACCGTGCCGGGTATAAGACAGTCACCTACCAAGGACAATGAAAAATGTTCACGTAAAATCTTGGATTGGTTGAAGTTGAACATTAACACACTTGGATGCCGGCGTAGTGGTTTAAAGACCAAGAGTACGCTCATGACATCAAAGGTCCTGGGTCGAATCCCGCGTGTGGGATCGTGGATGCTCATTCCTGAAGAGTCCCATCCTCACTACTTCCAAGTTTTATATGTATTGGTAGTATTTCACAAATAAATCGTAAAGTACAAAATTCACTTTAAAGAGTGGGATAAGATATGTTTAATTTAACGATATGGATTGCTAAGACTTGCTAGAAATGTTCTGTGTGAAATATTCGTTTCTGTCACTGTTCATTCAATACAATTTTGTACTAATGTAACGTAATTACTTTCATCAATAAGTAGTATGTTGCTTATTGAAAACTTTACTGCTACTGCTATGTAAGATAAAGAGAGATGAACAAACATTTTCATTAAATTACCACATGAATGAACTTACTGAATCAGAAGTACTTTACATATGCAAAATGAGATTTTTTAAAAAAAATTGTGCATTATTGATTATTTGAAGTGATCATATCAGGTTAACACATCGTCACTTTATTAGAGGATAAATGCAACTGTGTACAAATTTCCATATGATCCCTGAATAATATAAACAGTAATAGTACAAATGGTATTTTTTTTAAAAAAAAACATTTAGTATAGACGAGATAGTTTGAAATGAAAACATAAATTTGTTGAACATAAAGTTACCATATAGTTTTGAAATTCTCAAGAACTAAGGTAATATATCAAATGAATTCAGTTTCACCATTGTGGTGCGTGCTACTTATATTGATATAAGTAGCATATGACGCGAGTCAGGAATGTAATCTCTGGTGGCAGAAGATGGGGAAGATCAAGAAAGGAATAGCGGAATAGAAAGCAATTAGTATGGAAATGCAAGAACAATGAAGTTCGAGACAATTGTTGAACATTTTGCAAATTAACTATTATAGTATGGTTTTTCTATATTACCAAGTAACTCTGTAATGTGGTCCTAAACATAATTCGGTTTTCCTCACCTGTGTTTTCCTTCATTACACCATTATGACTGATTCTGAACCATGTTACCTATTATCTCCAAACATTTGACACAATAGTCGTGCCCATTCTTATTTAAATAGTCTAAACATGACTTAGTTTAATTGTCAATAACTTGATACAGTAATACAACATCTTCGTTTGACCACGTTTAGCTTTCATTTAATCTACTCCTCCATCAGCAAATATCATACGTCCAAGACATACAGTAGTTTGGTATACGTAATACATGTTTTAACCACAATATCAGATGGTTCTCTATCTTCACCTTGGTAAACTTTTGGTTTTCATAGTAATTTAAATCAGGTGAATAACCTTGGTTATTATTATTTGATACGAATTACAGAATGTCGTGGTAAAATATGAAAAATACACATTAAGTACTTCATTTGCACAGCTTCCATCAGTTGTCTCTTACAAACTTCATCGTTCCTTCATTCCTGTTGCTGTTACAATTAGTCTCTGTTCACGTTCCTGTTCTCTTCAATTCGATTTTCTCAATCTTCTGCTGCTAGGTATTCCAATTCTGATCAATCTTACATACTACCTATGACTATCAACATAAGTAGCGTACATCGCAATACTATTTTATTTTAATTTTTTGTGTACACTCTGAACCTGTCAGGTAGATGCAAACCACCTGACTAAGGTTCGCAAGATAACTGTGATCAGCGGTTCAACACATTGGGTGATATAGTCTAAAATTGCGTTCACAATAATGGTACAGGTGCATTCATTGCTCTTTACCTTCGATTCGATCGTGAACTTCAGTATCCCTTCATATCATACCCTCCCATTCCGTCTTTTCAAACCTTATTCACGATGTTAAGTCTTTCTTTTTACCATTGGTAATGTATTATTTCAGTCTCTTTCGTCACTTAGTTGGTTAACTTCATCTCATCTCGTGCTAAGTGTGGTATAACAACTTAGGTTAACACATACATCTGTGCTGGGCTCTGTGTTGATTTTCGTTTACGTATGTCTATCATTTTTGTTTTTAAAATTTCTGTGTTACATATTGTACTTTTTAATTATGATAATTAGATATTATTTCTATCTTTTTTATTCTCTCTAACCAAAAAAAGGAATATCAAGCCAAGGAATCGTCCTAGTTTTCGTCAAATTCTATCACATCTAAATGTAACCTGTTCACGTTTACTACAGTACACTGATGATGAATTCATTTCATTGCGTCAACTATGGAAAGAAGAAATCACTGTTTACCTTCAAGTATGTGTGCGTCCCTTTTTCTTCTTCCCTGCCGTATTTCAACCGATGGGTGGCGGAAGTAGGCATTTTTTATATATGGTTTTATTCGCACATTTAATTTCATGGGTATAAATTTCTACAGAGTATTTAAAAAATACGTTTGGTAACTTGAGTAAACTAATATTAATATGGGGGATTTGGGGAGAGTGTACAATGTCCGCCGTTGAAATCGTGAACTGGTCTGAGATAGACCACTTTTGAAAACCTGGAAACACTGGACGCCCACGTCGTCCCAGGGTGGAACTTCTCAGGAACGCGCGTCACGATCCATCCGTTTAGAGTGTGAAAAATCTACTCATCGCAGGCAATGGATGAAAGGTTACGCAAGATCATGGGTTGATTGAAGCTAGACATTAATACCGTTGAATGTATGCTCAGTGATCTAGAGGTTAAGCGTCCGTGCGAGATCGAGGGTCTTGGTCTAACACAGACCAGTTCGTCATTTCACCAGTGAATAAACTAACGTTTACCTGCCCAACTAAGTAGGAGAATCCATTAGGCACCTTGGGAAACAAAAAGAGGTTTTGTAAAGGGTACGCGATTGGAGTACTGGAAAAAGCAAAGTAAACGGACACGTTAGCTTCTTTATATTTCGTTTGTAAGTAGGGACTTCGATCCAACTATACGTTATGTAGCGTCAACAGACACGTTGACAGTCTACACTTTCCTGTCATGTGTGGAAACTTTGTAACAACTCAAAAGTGTTTAAAGCTATAATAAATACACCGGTATGGGACATGGTACTGCCTCAAGTATGCGTCTTATTTATATCTAGAATGTACACGTTAGAGACATGTGCATTCTACAGTATACATAGGTATAAATGCTTCCGCTCGCAAGTGTACGTTACATGAATATTTATAGTTCATGAACTAAGCCCTACATTCTCATAGTGTGTACAGGGATATACATCCAATTCACCTCAGGCCATAACCCAGCGGTTATAAAGCACTGAATAAATAACAAGTAATCAAGTCAATTGTGCTTTGAGTCGTCATTTGACGATATTTCACACTCATACCGAAAGCAATTTTAGTGTCGACGCCTGTGTTCTGGTTACGGCACAGTTTATTGCCATACGTTCTAGCTCACCCCTGCCAGATTCGATGGTCCTCTCTAGAGTGAATCCGGTCGGACAGATAAGGCGAAATTCTCTCTCCAGTTCTGCATTTCACGCTTATCCATACAATGCGCCCCTTTCTGTTAATCATGTTTTGAGACGGATCGGGTGATTAGCCCGATTTCTTCTTATCCGCCCGCGTTAGCTCATAAACATGATTCACTGCCTACAGGGCACCACAGAGAGGCGCAGGTCCGTCTTCGCTTTAGTAAATAAACAACTGATATTGTTTTGACATTTGTAGTCAGTTGGTCAGTCATGATCAACATAGAGCTAGATACATGTGTCCTTTAACCCAAATGGCTGTATCACATTAGCACGACAATAGGAAGTTACACAGAATGAACAGGGACAAGTAATTGAAGTAACGCAGTACCAATAATAATGAAAAGACTAAACATTATGGATATGATTAGTTTTTTCAGAAATATATACTTAGTATCTATCGTTCACCGATAATTGGGCTGTCTATCATCCCGTTTAATTATTTGCCTGAATCTTCTTTCATACAAACATATCTAATAGGATATTCGACTTGAAGGTCAGTGTACACCAAAACTTGAAGTGATGTTAATTCGTCGTCGACGTGAAGAATTATGTCATGCACAAGATATTCGACGTTGTTATGATGATAAACGTGAAAGAGCTAATGAATTATATATGGAATTGAAAATATTATTAGCTGAATGCGAAGAAGAAAAACGTAAAGCTGAACGGTTAGTTTACAAAATCTCTTATGGTGTTCATTATTTCGTTTATTTGTTATGAAAGATGTCGAATGTGTTGTTGTAGTGGAGCAATCAATAATTGGCTAAATGTTAAACGCACATGACTCGTCAAGATACATGGCTGCCATTTTCGCGGAATGAGATACATGCGATTGATGGAAAGTTATATATCATATATATATATAGTCATTTCTCTATCTGGTTAGCCAATAAAAGCTTCCTTCATATTCATGATCTCATTCGTGTATCATAAGTCTGGGTATCACTATCAGAATCAGATACTACACAACACAGCAGCTTGTCATGTGTATAGAGAGTTAAAATTGTCTTGGTAGTGTACTGTTAAAGTAATTTGTTAATTTATAGTTAAAAGTTTACTCCAACAATAGATTCTATTATCTGTGCTCAATTATTTCACTGCCCTATCATTAGCTTGAATGTTGATACAAATTACTCATAAATTCAAACTTTACATTTAAAAGATGAGGAACATATTCCAAATATGTTTATATTGTCACTCAAAGTGATTATAAGACTCTGCATCTTTTACGGACCTTCAATATAAGTTCTAATTCGATGACCTGTAGTGTTCGAGTAAAGAGGTCTGTACTAGGTTGATATCTTCCTTTGGTATGCCGTTCAGTAACAGACACTGCTACATAACTTATCTATCAACGTAGTTGAAAGCTGCCTTAATATCAAGAAAAACCACTATAGTCGGACATCTGTAGGCTTTTCGATGTTGTCGAGTTTGACAAATGCGAATATATTTAGTCGATACATCCACGTCCGAGTTTGAAACTAGTCTAGTTTCCTGAAGTTCACGTTATAACACTACGTGTGTTCCGAGATAACTCTTAATCTGAAAAATACTCTTATTAATCCAGGTTCTCACATTCCGAATATTGACTAGTGTAAAAGTAAGCTGTAAAGAAGCTAGGTGACCGCTTAACCAAGTTATGATATCACTCTATGAAGTCACTAGCTCTTGGATTTAATCATTACAAACTCCTTGGATGAAGTTTGCGCACTTATCGTAACCAGTTGTTCGAGACCACTGGGTTTGCCTTCGATTGGGTCTTGTTTTTAAATTATTTAATACCTTCGATGTTACGAATTAATCATTTCTTTTCGAATGATGTTATATATGCTCAATCTTTCCTATTATCACTAATATTCTTACTACTTGTACTATTCTGACATTCATCTCACTGTTCTGATTTTGTATTCCAACTTAAACTGATACACATATCTATGTCCAGATTCTAGGTTCCATACAACTAACTATCTGTTTATTTATTTAAACACATAGATAATGGTACATGGAGGCACCAAATACATATGCGCCACATAAATCATTCGATTTGTGTGAGGGATGGGGTACTGCCCGGGTGCCCAGACAGAAGCAGGTGGTTTTCTTAGGGGGTCACACCCCGAGCCTTCGACCTAAAGGTCTGACCCACACGGCAGTGGAGCATCGTGAGGAGATGCAGTTCCATGGGAGCTGGTGACCAACAATTGGTTCATACGCCATTTTTTCCCTCAGGATACTGGAGCCTATGTGCACCATTGGTTTGGGATCCGGTTAAAGCGCCGGACATTCGCTTTTCGTCCTCTTATTTTCGTAAACAACACCCGGTGGTGAGAGAGGGCAGGGAGTAGGACTTTCTTGGCAGTGGCTGTATACGCGTGGCCGTGTGAGAGAATTTCGAGAGAGGGCGGTCCCACCCCACTCTCGACCGTACCAGGACATTTGGGGGCACCTGTTTATTTATTTCTATTTCATTATTTATTCCTCCTCCCCCCTCCTATTTTTTTCTTAAATATTCTAGAGAACGTTTACACTATGAATCGCTTATTCAAGAGCTCAATACTAATCGAAAACAACAAAATGAATTCAATCAACAAAAATGTTCAACTGAAGAGAAAAAATTTGTTGACAATGAAAAATTTCAATATTTCAATGATATAGAAAATACAAATGATTGTATTACTACTCATTCAAATAAACAACAATTTCCTTTTTCAACTTTATCAACATTTTCATTAGGACGTAAATTAAGTGATTTCTATTATCGTCGACGTAATGATTTCAAATTTACTAAATCTATTTTACAATCATCATTATTATTACCATTATCTATTGGGAATAATAATACACATTCATCTATTCATACTACTGATATCATTCATAAAAGTAATATAAATAGATTGGAATTATTAAAAAATCATCATTATTATTTTACAATACCAAATAGTTTAGAACAATTTAATGAGATTTATTATTTAGGTTATCTTATATATAACAATCTATTTAATAATAATACTACTAATAATAATATTAGTAGTAGTTGTAGTTCACGAATTAATAAAAAACAAAAATGTCCATTTTGTGGTAATCTCTATTCATCATTAATAAATAATATGGAATTTTTAAAATTCTACCATCATCATCATCGTAATAATCATCATCTACGTAGAGCATTAACATTATCAATGTTAGAATATAAATTAAAAGATCAACAATTAACCGATTCATCTATGATTTATAATGAATTATACAATACTACTAATGATAATAATAATAATAGTAATATACAACCAAGTTCACTGTAAGTAGTATTGTTTACTAATCTTTGTTCATTATGATATTTGTTTCAATAAATTATCCATTGTTTAGTGAATATAATTTGTTAATTGCATTATTAAAACAAATAGGATGTTTGTTTTAAATGTATAGTATAATTCATATAAATTCATACAATTTATTCAATGAATAGATCCTTTATATAAACAATCATAAGTTTATGAATAATTTATATCTTTTGGATCATGAACTGATCCTAGTTATTTATTTATTTATTTGTTTGTTTTATTTGAACACATACATAATGGTACATGGTAGAGGGGGCACCAGATATATATGCGCCACACACAATAACAATGAGAATGGGAAGAGAAAAAGAATGTAAAGTGCGTATAAGAGAGAACAGTAACGACCACAGATTAGTGTATGGTAGTGTACCAGGGCATTTGGGGGGGGGCAATAAATTCTTGATCGAGATCATGAACCGATTGATGTTAGACCATCATTGAAAACCTGGAAGCATTGGACGGCTATTTCGTCCTGTTATGGGACTCCTCAGCAACGCGCGTCCACAATTCGAACCCAGGGCTTTCAGTCTCGCACGCGAACGCTTAACCTACTGGACTACTGAGCCAAAAGAATATGGAACGCTTCACGATTTTGCGTCTCATCCTTGCGCAGGGGTCAATTCTAATTTTCTCTGTATCGTTCCAATTTTACTATATGTACTGCCGAAGAGAGTACGTACCGACCATTATTGGAAACTAAGATAGACTAAACAGTTGTTCTGTTCTAGGACGGAACAGCTTAATGGCAGTGCACATCCACTATCTTGTATCTTGTGGTTAAAACTGAAGACTTTCGGTTTTGATATGCAAATGATTAACTTTTAGATCATTAATTCGGCATCCAACAATGTTAATGCATAAATTTATTCAACACACGAATACAATGGATGATGGTAGCGTGATATCGTAGATTTATTGATGCTTAACGATGTGTTCGTCTATTCACCGACTATTTTCATTTTTTTTTATTTCGGGGAATTGTTTTAATGATTCAGATTAACATTATATGGTGTTATTTACGTTACTTTTAATGGTATTCGATACGTCTGATACGTTTATTTCGGCAGACAGATGAACAAATGAAAAGCAGAATAGGCATATCCGAAACTTTGCTATTCGATTTTTTATATCCATATTGTTTTTAACGGGATTTGTCAATGGAGCATATACAATGTCTATATCATTAACGATTCGACCATATTTAATTTGCACGACTGATGTGATATAATGCTAAATAAATCAATTAAAGGTTTTATTAAATTTAAACATATACAGATAGTTATGGTTCTATACCTGTGTAACTGGGCATCGAAGTTAGTATACACAATACAAATAGTGAGGTGAAGTTGGGAAGAAATGAATTAAATATTCGAAGGATGAGTATAATTATTGTAACTTGTGAAAATGCATACTTGGTACTGGCTACTGGTAATAGTGAATTTGACAACACAAGTAAGAACGTGAATATAATAGATGAGGAGTGGTTAGATCTCCGAAATAAATTAAAATAATGTCTGAATACACTGATTTGATTTTTATCGAATAAACATAAGTGTAAAATATTACAGGTCACTACTACTCTAATCAGTTTTAAACCTTTGTTCACTATGTCAATCATAAAAAATAACTAGATACAAATGAGTGAGGAGAAGTGGATCTCGATGAAAACAACGGTTGAAGAAATACCTCATGATTCCAAAGAACGTAAAAGAAAACTACTAGAGGAGTTCTGTTTTCTATTCTGATCCACGTCTCGTAACATCTCAAGCCAATTAGTTGTACCATCTCCAGGCTCCCAACCAGCGAGTCTTGTCAGACGGACAAATACTTGTCTTATATAATCTATTTTCATACCATGACGCCATGTCATAGAATGACTACTTGCACGAATTTAAAGATACTAAGATAACATTCGTCAGACATTTTAAAGCCATTGAAATGCGCATTTCAAGTTGCTGCCTCCAATTGGATTAATGTCTGCGTTCTGACTTTCACTGTACGTAGATTGATTTCGTCTTCTATACCACTGCCAACATACACAACTTCTAAAATACACGGATTCTTTTTAACAACTAACGGATGACCACAAAAAGTGAATACAATCATATGCTCCTGTTAGTTGTGTAGAACTACTTTCCAAAACACATGCCATACTTACATATTTTTTGTCTTAAGTAAAATTTAATAGATAGAATAAGTATTTTATCATCATAAGCAAAAATGGATGGTGGCTATCAATAGCATTTAGGAAGCATGTTTTCTTCTATTTGGGACTGTTGTGACTTGTGACTGCAAGATTGGACGCGCAGCGTATTTATCGATCGGATCAATGACACGTAAACACGTAAGGACGACCTCGAGCCCCGATTGGCCGTGCTTCCCTGTCTAGCCCAGCCAGTTGAGTCCAGAACGCAAGTCTTAGCCTCTGAGATATGAATCATTGTATTTCAGACATACTCGGTTTATATACCAACCAAACAAACCACATCGTACCATAAAATACAAAACAACATTTGTACAATATTTAACAAGTGAAATAAATACTGATCAATAGGGAATGTCCATTTAAAGTCCAAGGACACCATTAGACTTAACATGATAATTATTGGTATGTTTTTCCGAACAGGGACTCTCCAGCTAGATGTACCTGCATCCCAGAGTTTATTTTCACTCCGGAACTCGAATTCAATACAATTCGCTCCGAACGCTATCGGGTTATTCAATTAGCTACTGGGTCGAGATTTAAGGCAATCCACAAAGTATGCACATATGACAATAAGGGACTGATCAAATGTAGTCTTCAACATCAATAAGAAGATATAAACAACCAATACAAAATATATTTTATCATTGGCTCATATATACTAGTATGAATTTTAATCAGTTTATTTATTCATAAATATCATTTAGTAGTATGCATAAGATTTATTTATTGATTATTATCATTCTTTTCATTATTCCCAGTCTACATAATACTAAAAAACAATTTGCCAGTACAAATAGTTTGCATCAACTTGTAAATGTCCCTTCTCCTCCACCACCGCCAGCATATGACTCTGTAATAACAACTGACAATCAAGTCGTACGAGGAGGCCATCATCAAAATGTACCAGAACAAACTATGGTAAGGTCGAATTTCACTCATATAAGTGATATTCACAACAAAAACAACAATAACGGTAGTCAAACATTCTGTAATCATCATGATCATCGGACTGATGTCACTTCTTCACCTTCATCAGTAAAATCTGTACATCATCAGTTAAAAGATACTGTGAAAACTACCTGTATTCGTACAACCGATATCACCACTACATACACTACTACTACTACTACTACTTCTAATTTGAAGGGCAACGATAATTCAACCAATAATTCCGACAAGATTCAATTCGATGTAATGTTAAATCCAACCATAAATGAAAATAAGAAAACAATGACAAATGATAATGAAATGTTGTTTAAAACCGGTTTATCAAAAACAACAATTAAGGTAAGAAAAGAAAATAATCTTATTATTTCTAAATAAGAAGTGTTATTTGTCATTATTATTTCTACTGATAAAGTCAATAATATTTGAAATCATTGATGAAATACGAACTGAATCTTAGTTACACAATCATTGCGAACCGGAAAGCACTGGATAGTTTTTCGTCCTGATGTCGAACTCTTCAGCGGCACACATTTACAAGCTTTCTAGGAGCTAGACCAAAGGGACTCTACATTCTTAATGGTAATGTTTAACTTTTAAGCCATTGAATAGAGGTACGTTGAAAGATGGTTACTTGTCAACACTATGATACAAGTACATCCAATTGATGAGTCCCAATCAAGACGAAACGTACATCATGGATTCCACTGTTATCAACTATCTAAATGTACTGAAATCATATCTTAATACTTATCACTTCAGCATAACCCGCTTACTTACTACCTAAATGAAGGATTACTCGTAAGATCTTGTCATTTCTAATGCGAACAGGTTCTTACATTAGAGGTCCGTCAATCAGATATCTAAGTGGCCATGTTATTCGTCACGAAACTTATGAACTCAACATTATAGGGTAACGGAGTTTCAGAAATACTTAAACTCATAATCAACACTTGATGAAAGCAGTTCTTGTCAAATAAAAAAGATGGTTATTACAACCTGTCGAACTGTTAAAAGTTAAAAGCATTTTCCATCTCTTTTGTAATATATATATATAATAACAGTGATCACTCGAACGAGTATTTCATTCAAAAGAAATTGATATCTGCGTCTTATCCCAAAAGAAATTAAAAGATGGAACCATTGATTCGAAAAAAAAAACAATATAAAAACAAGCTATATATTAGATTATAGATAAGTAATTCAAGTTCGACTTCTAATGATCGGGTCAACATGATGTTTTATTTTATTAAGAAATACCTGTACTAATTACTATTCATGTATGTGGAGTATTGAATCCAGAGGTTACAGGTTCCAAACCCTCTCCATCGACTTCTATTTGGGCAGCTCCATAGTATCCCTAGGTAGAGTACACGAGTACATACTTGATGAGTTATATATATATATATATATATATATATATATATATATATATCTTCCTGAACATGTATATTTTATTCACTGTAATTAGTCGTTGTTCATCATTAGATTGACAATGAAAAATCCAAAGAAGATAAAATGACTGGATGTCATGTTAATGTGATAAATTGGCTTAATCCTGCAAACAATTCAATAAATGTTCATCAATCATCAAATGTAAATAATTTAACATCGAAATATTATCCAACCAATTATCGATTAAAACGTTCTATTAGTCAAGATTCTTTATTATGTTACTTGAAAAAATTACAATCAATAAAAAATATCAATGAAAAATACACTAATATCAATACTACTCATAACGATAATAATAATACTACTACTACTGACAAAGATAATCATACTACTGATAATGATGATCATAATAATACTATTATTAAATCATTAAAAAATCAATTTCCTCTGATCAATAAAAAATTCTCTTCATGTATATCAATATTTTCAACAATCAATTATTATAAATCATCACCATTATCATATTTAACAAGTTTTAAAGAATTCCCTAATAATCATATTTATCATCAATTGAAAGTAATGAATGAACGGGATTATTTTAAAGCAAATATAATTCATAAATCTTTTATACATTCTTATCAACCTCAACAAATATCTTCAAATGATGAAAGGTAATGTAATTTTGAAAAGTTTTATAATTGAATATGAATTTATCTTCTGTATTATTTGATTGATGAGAAGTTGAAAAACCATGATTGTAAACTAATGTGGTACCTATGGGTTCTAGGATCCTAAGGCAACAAATGAAATATGAACTCATTATTGGTCACTGATTAGCATTGGACTGTATTTCTTGGTGTTATTGCACTGTCTTGTGAGCCAGACCTTCAAGTTGAAGGCTCCGGGTATGGGGCTCCCTAAGGAAACCACCTGTTTCGGTCTAAACACCCGGATAGTATCACAGCCCACACATAACTCAACTGACTTGTGCGGTGTATATGTATTCGGTGCCCCTTTGTACCAATATTGATATGTTCAAATAGTAATGATAATAATAATAATAATAATCGGGTAAAAATAGTGATTTCGTTCGTATCAAATGCTTGATTTTGTCTCTCTATATTTATATTCATTTACTTATCTAAACACATAAACATTGGCGCAAAGGGACAATAAAATATACATCAGTCAGTCAGTCAGCTACAACGTAGGACCAGGCACATATATGCATCGGTCCAAGTTGCCATACCTCATTAACACAACAAGATGAACACCGGATTCATGTAAGTGGTTAATTCAGAGGTGGTAATATATAGGAGAAAGATTGCAATAAGGATATAGTATAGGAAGAAAGAATTAGTTCGTAGAAAGAAAGATGTGAAGTGATCTTAATCTCTTAGTTTAAGAGAAGACAGAGAGTGTATACACCGACGCCATTGTGATCGATTCTGAGCCATGTCACCAAGGGTCTCCAACCATTGGTTACGAAAGTCACGCGGACCCCAACCAAGTAGTCTGCATCTACCAACATGGCTCAAACTAGAAGTTAGTGACTTCAAACACTGATGTCAGGTTTTGTTTTGACCGCCCCTAACCTTCTTCCAACCATCTCCAACACCGGTTAGCATTGCAAGTCGTGGTAATCGGTGTTCAGGCATACGTAACACGTGACCCAACCATCTCAGTCGATGAAGATTCACAACCTCATCAACTGATTTACCATCCTTCCCTAATACCTTGCGTTCAACTTCACTATTACTTGCCCGGTGATCCCAGCAGACGCCAGCAATATTTCTAAGACATCTGTGGTCAAATACTAGTAGCTTACGGGTGTCTTCTACTCTTAATGGCCATGTTTCGCTGCCGTAAAGTAAGACAGAACGGACTGCCGCGCAGTATACTCGTCCTTTTATTGATAGACGGATATCTCGCCTTCGCCAAAGGTGACGTAAGTTGGCACACAAATCATGGAATTTGCGTGTGAACCGAAATAGTGCCTCTGTACCCATATTCAAAACAAATGGTTTTCTTAGGGGAAGACTCTGCGATTTAAGCGCCGGATATTCACTTCTTTTTCTGTCAACACTGTAAATAATACTCCTGTCGAGAGAAGGCAATGAGTTGAATTTCCGTGGTAAAGACTGTCTACCCGAGACCATATTAGAGCATTTGGAGAGGAAAGATGGAGTCTCTTCCTCCTCCTCGACCTGAAATAAATCTTAACTTGATCCCATCATATTTTATGAACGAAGTAATGATATAACACCCCTTATGTTTTTGAGTGAAATCTATTCATCCATATTGGCTACAGTGTGCCTATTTTATATTATTAGTAATGTGAGTTCATGTTGAAAACTCTAAATCTGAAACCCATAATTCTCATCTTAAATACCTAACTTTAACCAAGAACAACATCGAAACTCTTAGAAATCAATTTAGACCCTTATACCTTTTTGAAAAAATCATGTAATCCATATTTTGAGATCGTAGAGAAGATTTTTAGCTCAGCTGAATGATTTTGATAGAGTTTTATTCTCTAATCTGAATGGTTTGGTCATGAAACAACATCAGAAAAACAATGAAATCTCCACAAACAAACCATCCAACTCAGAGAATAAAACTCTATCAAATTATCTAATCCATATCTATAAAAAAAAACGAAATTATTTGTCTTTACATTTTCAACTTTCTATAACAGACCAACTTGTAAAAGATGTTATATACAATCTATCTATACTTTGTTACATAACATTATTCTGTTGTCTTTTTTTCTCCATAAACAATCCATTGATTCAAGTTGCTATCTGATTGGTTGAAAATTCATAACAGCTGTGTTGTTTTTTTTTCTTTCAAAAATCTCATTCCTGTACTGTAGGATGCCATAGGGATACTTTTACCGAAATCTATTACATCATTAAATAAAATACAAAACAATCCAGCGACAACAACAACAAAAGAATCTTTCTTTCTTTCCAACGATGACATTTAACAAAGTTTTACAATCTTTTTTTTTTTAACTTTAGTTTAACCTACATAAAATAGACTATGAATAACAAAAAATAGAAACTTTTTTGCGTCATTAGCATAGAAAACAAGAATTAATGTTGTTACACAATAATTAAAAGATAATAAGAATGTGAACATTGTATATATTTGTAAAAGATAGATAACTACGATAGAACTAGATTGGATAGCGATGACCTTCGAGCAATCAATCATATTTAAGATGACGTTTATAGAATATTGCGCAAAATTTAAAACCCAGTAATAGATAGTATAAACTTTATTTTAAAAGTAATATGTAATTAGCTGTTGAGCGTAAACAGACAGATAGTCAGCTGACCTGCCTACTCACTCCTGTTGACCCTCGTGGAGGAGCTCACTTACTTACTTACTTTACTTTACTTTACTTACACCAGTTACTCCCAATGGAGCATAGGTCGCCGACCAGCATTCTCCAACCACTCTGTCCTGGGCCTTCCTTTCCAGTTCTATCCAATTTTTGTTCATTTTCCTCATGTCTATCTCTATCTCCCGACGTAATGTGTTCTTTGGTCTACCTCTCCTCCTTTTGGCCATGGGGATTCCATATGAGGGTTTGTCTTGTGACGCAGTTGGGTGCTTTTCTCAATGTGTGTCCTATCCACTTCCAGCACTTCTTCCTGATTTCTTCCTCCGCTGGGATCTGGTTTGTTCTCTCCCACAGTACGTTGTTGCTGACAGTGTATGGTCAACGGATCCGAGGTGTTTTACGTAGACAGCTGTTAATAAACACTTGTATCTTCTGGATGATGGCTTTCGTAGTTCTCCAGGTTTCTGCCCCATACAGTAGAACTGTCTTGACATTTGTATTGAAAATCCTGACCTTGGTGTTGGTTGACAGTTGCTTTGAGTTCCAGATGTTCTTCAGTTGTAAATATGCTGCTCTTGCTTTACCGATCCGCGCCTTCACATCTGCATCAGATCCACCCTGTTCATCAATGATGGTGCCTAAATATGTAAAGATTTTTACATCTTCCAAATCTTCTCCGTCAATTTTGATTGGATTGGTGTATGCTGTGTTGTATCGGAGAATCTAGCTTTTCCCTTTGTGTATATTGAGACCTACTGCTGCTGAGGCTGCTGCTACACTGGTCGTCTTCTCTTGTATTTGTTTTTGCGTTTGCGATAGAAGAGCAAGATCATCAGCGAAGTGTAGATCATCCAGCTGCATTCTAGCTGTCCATTGTATCCCATGCTTCCTCTCAGATGTTGACGTCTTCATGATCCAGTCGATCACCAGGAGAAAGAGAAGGAGCCTAGTGATTGTTAAATATATAATTTCCTTCCTACTATTGATATCTACTTTAAACACTTTAAATGTAGGCTGTTTTGTAATTGTTTAAAATAAAGTATTATCTAGCTTTATATTCTAGTTCTCTATATTCGATTGTGAATCTTTTGTCTAGTATAAAATGATCCTGATCTGTGTATAGGATATCAATCGAGTATCTAATCTAGTGGAAGTAAATGGAGATCTCATTCACGGATTGTATTGTCGTATAACAAAAACGTATTGTTCCAAACTGAAAATACTTTTATTCTACGGTTATATCTAAAAAGAATTGCCCGTAATTAATTACTAAAATGCATAAGATTGTTTTTTTTTAAAGACTTGCGTAATCACACAGTGAATTTAACACGTTATGTTAAATAAATTACATGAAATATGTGATCTGAATGCGGATTGTACGTGAGAATGCATAATATGATTCGAGGCATATTTAAAGGTGTTTTTATCATTAAAACTGATATAAGAAAAATAGATGATTATCATTAGTACAGTAGGGCCTACGTCATCAGTCTGTAATTACAGAATAATGACGAAGTTCAAGAGAATGAAAGTAGCTTTAAAAAATTAATAATAACATATTAGAACCTTAACAAATCAAAGAATTGAACATAATGCGTTTGTGAAGACAAAGAAAAGTACTATGTAGTTAATTTGCTTTTATGATAGATTTTTATACAGTTCATAATTGTTTTATTCGGTTGCTTTTAGACCAATGTTTACACATTGGTAAAGTTAAAGTTTACTCAACCTCCAAATGCCCTGGTATGGCCGAGAGTGGGGAGAGTCAGCTCTCCCTTGAAAAATGCTCTCACATAACCACATGCATACAACTACTACCAGGGAATTCCTACTCACTGTTTTCTCGCACTACGGGTGTTGTTTACGAAATTGAAAGTACGAAAAGTAAATGTCCGGCGATTTAACCAGGTTGGTGGACATGGAGAGTCCACCTATGATAGTTGGGCTCCAGTATCCTGAAGGAACAAATGGCTTATGAATGAGTTTTAATAAATATCAGAAATATGAAGTGATATTTCGCTTCATTGTTCTGTTAATTTTGGGTTCAGTGTGAATATTCTGAATTATAGTATATATATAAACTAATCATTAATCCCAACCCTCAATTTTAACGGTTGATAACCTATAATCAATGTAAAAACGTTCATTAATAAGGTTACTAGCTGTAAGTTTGAAGAAAGTGAAATGGTGGTTAAACCAAGACAATATCAATCCATCAAATCATTGACTCCATATAATTTATATTTATCGAAACCATATTGGGAGTGAAAGACTGATCTGTTTAGGGCCCATGTGATTGTTGTAACTAATGTTTGAATATGTTGAGTAGTATGATTCTGAATTAGTTACAATCTTATAAATAGATTCACTCATTATCTTCTAGATCTTGGGCTACAGCATTTGCTTGTACATACGTTTCCATATTGTCTTTTAAAACTATATTTCGAATGTTCATTTCCTCTCTTCGTCATTCCTACTATATTATTTCGATATATTTTTCTGTGTATCAGGTTAAGCAAACACATATACATCCCAAGCTCTATGTTAATTATGACTGGACTTGCCTAATCCCATCCCCTTTTAAAATTCTAATATCTTTTTATTCTATGTTTGTATATTTGTACAGTATAATTCTTTTTCAATATTTTCTTTTCTTTCCAGTCATATAGACTCTACTCTTGATAAAACGATACAAGATCAAAATTTGAAAATTCTAAGAGACAATAAGGTAGAAGATGGAGATTTGAAAATAATCACTGCTGTTGGTTTTCCTTTCCTTGAACATGTAAGCCCATTATGGTCACCAAGTAAAGATTTATCTCGGCATAAACGTCAAATGATTAAATCAATGAATAATAATAATAATAATAATAATAATAATAATAATAATAATAATAAGAGTGACTTTGGACTGTTATCATTACCGACGTCAGTTTCACCTAAATACTCTGCATCAATTCCTACGATACCGCGTCGTTCGAATAGTAATAAAATCCATGTTGACCATAATAATGACAATTCTGTCTTGAATCAAACTACTCATATGTCATCCGTTGTCACAACAACATCATCATCATATTTACCTATGCATAATAACAACAACAGTAGAGAAAACCTGGAAAATGAAAATATCCAATTAAGAAAGTATCCTGGTCGACGAAATTTTACCATAAATGAGTCATATTTAAAAAATTCTAGTACAACAATGCCAGATCAAATATCTCGACCACTTCGTTCTCGTTACTATCATCATCGTCATCATTCAAGACTCTATTCTTTCTCTCAACCTAGAAGAAATAGTAGTAGTTTGTTGGATTTGAATTCAAATTATCGATCGACATCTTTTTCTGCTTCATCATCACCACTCTCATCGTCCATTGGAACTCATACACATATGGTAAGTTTTGTGTTGATTACCTTTTCTTCTTTATTGTTTTCACGTTTTCTTCTGTTTGAGCCAGCGACATGAGCCAAACCTGACGCCTCATGCATACCACAGTGTCCTTCGGATAAACTCTGACGGAATGCGAAGTATTTTGATTTCCTTGAGAAACTATTCAAGGATGTTTAGGATGCGATTCTCTCACCCTAAATGTGAAATGTTGCTTTCGAACTGGTCTATGTCAACCCATGAATTAATGATAAAAAGTGACGGGATTTAACACTTATCTTGAAAATCTTATCCCTAGTGGGTTGATGTCTAACGAACTTCTGGTACAGATTCAGAAAGTTGTGTCATTTGTTACGCAGATGAGACATCCATCTTCCAACCAACTGATCAGTTTACCGCGCAGCAGTTTTCTCTCCTCTAATTATCAGTCAGTCACTCGAATCAAACGGAACGTAGAACTCAGTACATGCTTGCATCGTTCCAAGTTGCCATATCCTACCAGCATAGCGATTAAGTGTAGTTCATGGCGATGAATACTATGGGCTATTCTTAGCTTAATAATTTTCGATCACAGGTGTCTCCAAAGCGTTGCCCGTGTACACTGCGACCACTAAGTGAGCAATGCTGAGATTAGGTATAAGGTACTAGGTAAAGATAATAAATTGGTCGACGGTGCTGAGTATCTTCATCGAATAAGATGGATGTGGCATGTACTACATTTGCCCAACTACTTCCTATATTAGTGAGCATTGTTGTCTGGTTTGAGAGTAGAGTGGATGAAATATAGGGTCGCCCAAACCAAAATATGGCATCAGGCCTTAAAGTCACTGACTGTGTGGAGTGAGCCATCGAGGTAGGTGCTGATTACATGATTGGAGTTCATGCGATTATCGTAAAAAATTGTTAGTGACTTTGGATAATATGGTTCAGAATCATTCGTAAAGGCACAATGCATTCACTCCTTGTCTTCCCGCTGATCCTGAGTCCCTAAATCTCATATGTTTTTCTTTCTGTAACTAGTCTTTTCTAATACCAGTAGTTTGCTATTTACCTTGATAATTTTATCTAGGTGCGCAACTGTGGTGTAGCAACTTGTGCCGATGCACATATATGCTAGGTCGTACGTCGCACATAACTGATTGACTGAACAACACTAGATCTGCACAAACAACTCCATCTTTTGTGAAGCATTTTGTTTGAAATGGATCATAGTATTGATATAAAACCAACTTTTGTCCACCAGTTGTCTATATCTATCTATCTTTCTGCCTATCTATTTATTGTCTGTTTATCTATCTATCTGTCATATAGTTCAGATTAATTTCATCTTAATTATGATTATCTCTATGTCTTTTAATAGAGCATTGAGAATTTAGCCAATGAACTACAATCACATATGATTGATAGTTTAAGTGATAAAGAATATCATGTTCGACGTGTATGCAGTAGGTTAAGAAAACAACAGCAACAACAACAACAGTATCAAAAACAACCTATTCCTATTCAATTTACAACAGATGATATTTCTGCTCCGAATCCAGCCTCTTTAGCATCTTCTCCATTGCCACCACCTATTACCATCACTTCTCTGAATGGAAGTTGTAGTAGATTAATAATTTCTAATGATGATAATAATATAACGAATGAAGAAAATCCATTAGTTGAACGAGTTCGTCCAATATTTCATTGTTTACCTGATCAATCATTTACAATTGAGCAAAATAATTTAAATTCACAATTATGTGGACCAAATCCAAAAGTATTTATTACATCTACATGTACTACCATATCCAGTATAACAGAGGTAAGTTTGTTTTAGAGAAAAGATGGAGAATGTAGAAATAATTGTACATCTGCTTTTAAATCGTATACATTTATCATTTTTCTGGTATGTAAACTGCTTGAATGTTCCTTGGTTTAATGGTCTAAAGGTTAAATACCTTTCTACATGACCTGAAGGTCCGGAATATTATATCACTCCCCTGTGATATGAGGTCATGAATACCCAGTACCACTGGGGATTCTGATACCAAGTGCTAGGGTTGAAGCTATCATGAGTTCACTTAGTCTGCAAACGAAAACAAAGACTTGGTGACCAAAGACCAGTAAGCTAGCTATTTGATGTGTCGCAGCCCCGCTAAGTAGAGGAAGAAGCCCAAACTTGAAATGGGGAAGTATATTCTACAAATCAGCCAGAAACGAGCGATAACAACAAACACAATTCAAAACGTATATATACAGTACAAAATCGTCCTTGAGAAGAGTTACCAAATAGCATACTAAAAGACGCAATGGACCAATAGCATTTAAGATATTTCCCAGTGGGAAATACGACATGAAGGTGACAATAGCGCTTTTGGCGCGAAAACAAACAAATTCAAATTTTCTAAATAAAATTACAAAATTAGGTTTTTTCCCAAGTGAGTTCTGGGGATCTAAGGTCTCCAACATTAAGAAAAACAATTATTCAATGCTACCTGATTTTTAATGATTGTTGAACTTAGCTCGGTTTGCAATCTGAATATCATCAAAAAATCTCCACCAATCCCTTATACTGATGATAAAATTTATACCTCTGTACTTCCGTTTACTAAGTGACAAGTTATTGAAGTATTAAAAATAGTATTTGGCTCACTAAATCTTGAAAAGTGGAGCACAGAGTTTGAACTATCTAATCTGTTTCGATGAATGTTGAGAGACATTTGGTAATGTTTCGTTCTTTGAAATAAACATTTTTATTATAGGGAGTTTGTCTGTTCAGATTGTTGAGTTCCACAGGTTACATTTTGAAGTGATCTTAGTGTAGACCATCATTGGAAACCAGAAAACACCAGACAATTGTTTCGTCCAGGTATAAAACTTCTCTTTGATCCTCACCTACAACCCACTACAGATCGAATACAAGATCTTCAAGCTTCATAATAAACACATAACCATTAGAACCGCTGCGCTGGAGTTCGAATCAAATCGATCTCCACAAAACCCCTACAAATAAGTTATAATAATCAGCTCACTAATGACTTACTTCAAGATGTTTCTAAAGTGTTAGTAAGAAGTTGTTAAGTTCAATTATGTGAAATAGATGTCATCAGTAGCATTGGATGATTGTCGCTCTGTGTCCCGAAATAATTGAAGTTAGAATTTTACATCTGGACTCCGGCCTAGGAGTTATAATGGATAAGCGTTCGCTTTGAGAGACGAAAGTCTTGGATTCGGTTTCTAGTGAATGTTGTGGGTACACATTACCGACGAATTAGCTACCCAGTTCTCATTGGTTTTAAATGGGACCGCAGATGAGATCAGTCTTTGAAAAAAGCTATGTGCAAATTAAACTTATCTCCAAAAAACTTTCGAATGTATTATACTTTTCAGTCTGGTTAGAAATAAATAATTATTAATCCCGAATTTCAATGATCTACTTCTTCCTACTATCCATCTTTAATTAACTGCTTATGATTTAATGGCAGTATCGAGGCCGTCCGCTCAGGTTGCACATATCCTGAAAGAGATTGATCGAATATCAGTCCTTATAACATCAACAACGTGACGAATATACCATAAAATTCCTACAAATTGATAAACAAGTATCTGTAACTTTGTGCGATTTCAAAATTGATCAATCGATTCATTTTTCCATTAATTGACAATCCCCTAACTTTTCTAGGTGGTGAATGCTCTTGTTGCGTTTGATAAAGATGTTTATATTTCAACATTACTTCATTGTAATATTAAGTGGTTGAATGCAGTAGATAGCAAACCCCAGCTTGACCAAGGTTTTATGTTTATTGGCCCTGTCACAACTAGGTGTATTTGTAATTTTGAGGAGACCAATGTTACTTGGTGGATTTAAATCCGCTTCACAATCTGAAATGCTACCGATTAGCCATTTAAGCCGTCTTAGACTGTGAAGCTATTCTGGGTAGCGCGGGTTCCGATTCAATGATTAGCATTAGCTCCTTAAAGATTACAGGTTTGCCATGTTGACAAGTGCCAACTAGCAGAAAACTTAGATGGGGCAATGTTTCCTGTTGACTACGTCCAACTACCAACATTGTCCGTGCGATGTTCAGCTATTTAGACTAGTAGCCAAATTACAACTTAATCGATCAAAGTTGATCAAGACTAGACAAACATGACACTGTTCGCTACTTGTTAGTCAGTCAATTGTGTGTATTATTGTTTATCCCCATATTTTATTTTCTTACAGGCCGAGGCTGATTTAAGCGATGATGATGATAATGGCGATGATCATGATGGACCAGAAACAGAACTTAGTGAAAGTCACAATGATCATAGCGTTTTACCATTGAATAAAGAAGAAATAGAAACAATGTCTGACAATTTTTCAAATTAATCACTTGCACAAGATAAATACCAATTAATTAGAATAACACTAATCATTAATCCCGATGGCAAGCATAACAGTTCAAGCCCAGTTATTACACATATACACATTGTGTGTACCGTTTTTCAACTTTTAACAGTTTTTTTTCTAGGAACCCGTTTTTTGCCTTTTTATTATTTTCTCCTTTTTTTTCTCAACTAGATAAATCCGATGTAAATAGTTATATACTACTATTATTACTACTTAATCATAGTAATCATTATTATTAATTATTCTCTGTTAGATACATTCACATTTACCTGCTTTCTTTTATATCTTCATAGAATCTTTTTCTATATGGATGGATGTTTTCCATTTATGTAGAGAAAGTCACCAGTGTATTGATTATTATTATTATTATTATTATGAACTACGTTTATTTTGTGTATTAGGCGTCTCAATTATTACCCTCCCCCCTCCCCCTCCCCCTATCTAATTTTTATTTTCTTACATAATTTCATTTGTCTTTACTAATATTGTTTTTTTCTATTTTTTTATTTCCCTTGATATTAATATGGTCCCCTATCCACAAAAATAGGATGAAATCTGTATAGGAATAATTATAATAATAATGATAGTGGTAGATGGTCCGTTTTGTCTCCCACCTCCCCCCTCATCTACCTTCAATCTCTTTTCTCATTTATCTTTATATACTCATAAATGGCGCACAGAACTTTTAATAATTAATCATTTTCCTCTCATACTTTTTCAGTTACTGATCTATTTTTTTTCTTTTTTTTTTGTTTTTTTCTAAAAAAAAGAGAGAAAAATGTATTTCCTCAGTTTAATCAAAAAAAATTGAAAATGAATTGACCTTATCTTTTCCTGTCATTTATTCAACTGATAAATAGAATATTAAACTAAGTTTAAAGAGAATTTGTTTTAATTCATTAAAAATTATATTTGCATTTTATTTATTTATTTATTTTAACAAATAGATATTGGTACAAGGAGGCACCAAATAGATATGTACCACATAAATCTCATTTGATATGTGTGAGGGTTAAGATACTACACGGATGTCGAAACCGAAGCCGGTGGTTTTCTTAGGAGACGACCACACTCGGAACCTTCGACTTAAAAGTCTGATCTACAAGGCAGTGAAGCAACGTCAGGAGGTATAGTGTAATGGTAGCCAGTGACCAACAATAGGTTCATACTCAATTTGTTCCGTCAGGATTGTGGAGCTCATGTAAACCATTGGTTTTGAATGAGGGTTTTCCAACTTTCCTAAGTGAATTCTCCGTGTCCATTGACCCGGTTAAATCCAAAACCTGATCTGTTTTACAGCTGTTGGCTGATAGACAACTATAGATATCAATACCAAAATTGAACTTCATAGTTTTAAACAAATTGAGCATTGGGTAGAGAGTTACTTACTTGCGTCTGTGTTACCCCTCGTGGAGGAGCGTAGGCCGCTCACCAGCACACTTCATTCATTCCCAACGACATTTTTATGCTGTATATATACACTTGAGTTGTGCTAGTTGTTGTTTTTCGTGCTTCTCTCTCCAGTTAGCGGGTTTGGAACGCATCGGAATAGTTAGCTGATTTGGTCATTGTGTTACTGAGTCTTCTTTCCGTTCACAGATTAGGTGAACTCGTAATCTCTTCAAACATAGCAAAACTAGAATAGGAATTAAGTAATGCAAATGCAGGCTTGAAATTAGTTATCTGTATACGATTGTTACCAACATTGAAAATCTGGAAGTACTGGTTGGCTTTTTTGCCCTGATATGGAACTCCTCAGCAGTGCACATTCACAACCCACATGCTGAAACCGAACCCAGGATCTTAATATCACACGAGAGTACTAAGCAGTTTCAGTGGTTGAAGGGTTAAGAGTTCACAGGCAAGACCGAAGGCTGTGAGTTTGATTTCAACATGCGAAGTCATTTGTACACACTGCTGAGTCCCATACTGGGAAGAAACAGCTGTTCCGCTTGATCTAAAAATCTCCATTTTAAATTTTATTTTCTATTATCATCAAAAGTTCGTGGAAATTGTTGAATTTAATTCAAACTACAAACGGATCTATGTTAGGCAACAATTGAAACCTGAAAGAATTAGATGGATTTTTCATCTTAGTATGAGAATCCTTAGTGACACTGGCCACTTACGATCCCACAACTGGAAATTTAATCCAACATTCTCGATAAATTCCCTACTGATAATTTTCATATGTTTAACTAATGACTAGCTTTAAAAAGAAATTTCTGGGATTCTTGCGAGAAGCCATGAGCAGTGAAGCTAAATCAGTTGTGTATGAGGAAGGTACGTACCGAAGACAATGGAAGATCTCTGCGCAAATCGTGAAGGTAGATTTATACACCACTGACTTCCGTCTCAGTAGTTTGCGAGCGAGGTCAAAGTTTCTGGATCCGATTGCCTTTGGCGAGATTGTGAATAAGTATTGCTATATCATCCTGTTCAAGGAAAAATTGGTGTACATTTCTTTGAAGTCTTCAGTGTCACTTAAGTTATCATCAGTCTGTGACATAAAGTATGAAATTTGATAATGTCCATAACTCCTTCTTTATTAATGTTAGGATGTTCGGAAAAATATACCAATAATTATCGTCTAATGGTGTCCTTGGACGTTAAACGGACATTCCCTATTGGTCGATTTTATTCACTTGTTAAATATTGTACAAATGTTGTTTTCTATTTTATGGTACGATGTGGTTTGTTTGGTTGGTATATAAACAGAGTATGTCTGAAATACAATGATTCATATCTCAGAGGCTAAGACTTGCGTTCTGGACTCAACTGGCTGGGCTAGACAGCGAAGCAGGGTCAGCCGGGACTCGAGGTCGTTTGTACGTGTTTACGTGTCACCGAATCGATCGATAAAACGCTTCACTCTAATCTGCAGTCACGTCACAACAATTAACCATATATAATCCTTCAGAAAGCTCCGTTAGATTCTGTCAACTTGTGTTCGTTTATAGCGTAGGTAAGATAGCCGTTTTCTGATCGGAGGATCAGTTTAGTGAACAATAGTTCTCCCCACATTTCTTTAAAAATAGTGGATATTCATAGGTTACTACTATTTGATTATAAGTGTCTTTTAAACGTTTTTCGTTTAAGTGGGAACCACCGAATGAACTATGTTGATGTTTGATTCAGGGTACCAGGTAAAGATGGTAAATTGGATGTCCAAGTACCAAATTTCATCAACTGAGGAGATCGTGATATACATTGCATATACCCATCCACCGACTAACTTGAAGTGCCATGTGCATAAGCAAATTGGAAGAAAGTAAAACCAAAACTTAACATTAGTCTATTTATTTACTGACATTAGGATAGAAACATGTTGGTAGCTGCAGACCCCTTAGTTGGGGTCATTGCCATTATCGTAACCAGTGACTGTAGACGTTGTGTGATGCCTCAAAATCAGTTGTAATGGTATAGATATATTTGCAATGTTGTTTTCCCATAGAATATGACTTTCAAAATCATTTAATACTTTTCATTCCACAAATTCGTATTTCATTCTCGAATTGTATTATCTTTTCCACTATTTGATACAATCGGCCCAATTAAAATTTTCTATATGAGGAGGCCACATTCAGCCAATGGCAAATCTAATGACAAAAACGTGTTATTGGCCAAGAAACAGTTTCATTTTCTAAAGAGTAGATACATACATATTCATATACAAATGCTTATACATTTAGTTCGATTTAGCCCTAGAAACTTACATCTTCACTCTTGGTTTTCTGATTCAATAGTCGGTTAAGGGCTTGTGTGTAGTAAATTCTTGTATTACTATCACTCCGGGATACTATGAGTCATAACACTATCATGTTGATACTGTTACTACTTCCACTACTCTAACATTTTTCTTGTTGTTCTGATATGATACGGCAACTTAAATTGATACATATATGTGCCAAGTTTGACGCTACATATAACTGACTGATAGGAAATATTGAGACATTTAATAAGCTCAAGTACATGTTTCTTGAGATACCCATATAATTTTGGCAAATACCTAAATTTCAATGGTTGAGGTCATGAGTCAGTTGAAGCCAGACCAGCATGGAAAATATGAAAGCACTAGAAGACCGTCTTGTCCTATTGAGGGACTCCTCCGTGGCAGTGAGCATCCACGATTTAACAGTGCATTGGAGAAATATTTAAAAGCATACAATATGTATTTTGTATTAGTTGTTCAGATCTTTCCATTGATTTTTAAAACTGTAATTAATCAGTCTCTTTTGGTATATTTGAATCCTATGCGGATTACCTTAATATTACTTCAAGTCACATGTATAATAAGTAGGGTTAGATGATGATTAACAGTGAGATCCAGAACTCTTATCGTTTCCTTCCATTTGGGACTTGATAACTGGATATACCCAACATATACCAAAGTTGATGTTCAGTCCTGAACTTGAAACTAATACCATTTGTTTCAAATGCACAACGAGTGATCCACGTAGCTGCTGAGTCCAAAGGGTCACAAACCTTTGTAACGGGATGAATTTTAATTCATATATAGTTATTGGCTGTTTAGATTTTCCTATTGATGTTTAGAACTGCAATTGATCAGTTACTTTTGTGTAGACCATAGAAGTCAGACAACATTAGAAATGTGGATTTTTAACTAAAACATTGAAAAATGTCTAATTGTAACACTTGTTATAGTGTACTATTCAAACTATTGATCGTTTTCTAGTTGAGAGCGTTAGTATACTATGACAAGCCAATCGAATCCGATAAAAAAGACCACTTTCTAGTGTTTTTTTGCACGCAGTTCGACAATGAATGACTTTTATCAGTAAAAGCACGGTGTACAAATGAGCCAATTAGAATTAAACATGCAGTTACTCGATTTTCGCGCCAAATTCAAATGTCGAATATGACGGGTAGGTGTAAGGATAAACTCCATTCTCGTTCACGATTTTGACCTTGCACCTGGTAACCAACTAAAATGAAGCAGGTATTATTTACACTGTTGTAATCCATGATGGAGGGTATATTTTGTTCTGTCGTTTTTGCTGAGAAATGTAAAGTTTCCTACCACTCCATTATGCTACGAACGTGTAAAGTGTAAGGCAGTCAAGTATCACGGAAGAAAAATCACAACATAACAAAAGAAATACTTCCAATTAATTCTGTAATATCTACAATTAAATGACTAAATAAGCGGACACGGTATCGTAATTACTGACTACGATACACTCAAATGCCATAACAGCATACCAGATAGCACCCCTTAGATTTTTGTATAAAATTCAGTCATCCATAATACTATAAGGGAATTTTTACTATAGCCGATATCATTTTGTCAAGAAAATCCTAATCCTAACTATAAATACCCAACCCTAACAAAGAACCATCTGAAGACTCAGAAAAATCGATTTGGATCCTTAAAAAAAATTACAGGAGACGGCCTGCTTGAATATCTGGACTACCAGTTTCCTGTCATCTAGACCTTCCAACAAGTTATCTGTTTTCTTGTTTGTTTCAACACATCATTGTGCCTATTAGTCTGATAACTTATTCAGGTGCGTTTGTCAAAAGTTTACTACATTTCTCTGTACAGGTTACAATAAAGCCCAATCAGAAACATTATGGATGAGACTATAATTTATGAACGACCTTTGAGCGACGCTAAACTGACCTTGAGAGTGTCCACCTAATAACCAGGACCAAATGACGGTTATAAACGAGAGTGGTGAACTAAAATTATGATTTACAGTTGATTATTAAGGTTAGAAATTAGATTTAGGGTTTTCATCACGAATTGACATCAGTTATAGTGCCAAAACTTTATTTATGCGAATGAATGAGTGAATTTAGCGCAGAAATCCAAGAGCTATTATCTTATACCTCATTGGTTCGTCGATAAATTATAGT